TGAGGCTGCACTCTACTGGCAGGAGCACAGCCAGGCACCCGGTGGCCACTGAACCTCCCTGCCTGTCACCCCAGGAGCTGGTCCACCACCATAGCACGTTCTCAGGTTCCCATGCAAGCCTTCCTCCTTTGCAGAGGGCTTCCAGTCCTGGATGTGGAGAGGCCTCACGTTCCTGCTTCCCTTCCTCTTCTTTGGACAGGTGAGTGTGCACAGATCCTTGGGGGGATCCACGAGAGGCCTCAGAGCCTGAGGTGGGAGTGGGTTGTGCTGTTTTCCCAGCTGTAGTGGGCAGCCTGGACATCACACAGATCCCCACATGCTGCTGCAGCTGTGTCATATGGATGCCAGGGCAGGGAAATACTTTTAACAAATGCTGAGCTTTTTCTTTCCCTCCAAAGCACCCACCACCTCCATGACTCAGCTAATGAGATGGGAGGACCTGGGGGTAGATCTGCCGAGTACTCAGGGGATGTGCAAAATACAGCCCAGGGGTTTAAAACCTTCCCAAAAACCTTCCAGGCTTCAGCTTTTGAGCTGCTGCAGCAGTTCCAGGTCTTCCTTGGCCAGGTCAAAAGCAGAAGGCTGGTCTGAGGCTTCCTCCTGGCTGTTGGGCTCCAGAAGGTGGCAAGGAAGGGGAAGATGTCCCAGCTGGGGTCCTCTGGCACCCAAGTGTGGACGGGGTCTTTGCTGCCTGCTGGGGCAGGCTGACTTCATGTGAGGTCTGCCTGGAGTTTGTGCCCAGAGGGCACAGCATGGGGTAAAGCCTTGGATAGCAGGAACTCCCCTCAATCTCTTCTCCCCACAGTTCTGGCAGCTCTACAACGCGGTCACCCTCTTCCGCATGATCCAGCACCCGGAATGCAAGGAGTGGCAGGTAGGGGGGCTCCCAGGCAGCTGCCCTGGGGAGGGGGCTGCACCAGGCAGGTCCCTCCTGCTGACTCACATCTCTGCGGCTCCCACAGGTCCTCATGTGTGGGATCCCTTTCTTCATCCTCTTCCTGGGGAACTTCTTCACCACTCTCCGTGTCGTCCACCAGAAGGTTCAGAACAAGAACCAAGACACAAAGCAGGATTGAAGGGGAGCAGTGTGGGGGCCAGGACTGTTTCTCCCCACCAGCTCCATCTCCCATTCCCCTCTCCTCGATGCCGTCCGGATGCTGGTGTCTCACCCCATTTCTTGGAATCCTGTGTGTGGGACAGAGCTTGAGGCCTGCTCATGAACAGACAGGGTCTTCCCTGCTGTGCCAGAACCATGCTGGAGTCACTCACCTGCAGGCAGGAGCACCCTGCATCCCTTCCTGGCTGCCTTCCTCCTCCAGGAGAGCCTGGGTGCTGTCCTTCCTTCTCTTTGCCCTGGAGACACCAGGATGGTTCCCCAATCCCACTGCAGGCAGGGAGCAGCCTGGGGTTCCCAGCTTGCATCAACTCCCTCAGGACAAGGCAGTGCTCAGGGCTCATGCTGCCTCTCAGGCCCAGTTCCTGGGGTGCTCAAGGGCACCCCTGGGTGCTGAAGGCAGGGGTAAACAGGGTCTCACATCACCCTGGCTGGAGGCAATTGCTGTCCCAGCAGCCCCGTTGCCTTCCAAGGCAGCTGGAGGACACACACACCATGGGTTCTGGATTCTCCTCTACCTTCAAGCTGTGGCCCTGCAAGGATGGGAACAGCCTGAGCCTGCCCCAGGTGTCACCCTGGAGCTGTGCAAGCAGCACCCTGGGCTGGCACCTCTGGATGCACGCACACAAATAAAGGGAAGGTGCTGCCTCAGGTTGCTGGGTGGTCTCAGAACAGCTGGCATGCTCTGTGGTCTTGGCCTGGCTGGTAGTGGTTGGTCCATGGTGTGTCGGGGCAGGGGGTGGGAATTAAAAACACGTCCAGCTGCCCCCACAGCATTCCAGGTCTCCCTCCCATGGTCCCCCCTGGCTGCCTGAAGCCAGGTCCAGCAAGACTCTGTGTCCCAGAGACCTGGGGAAGAGAAGCCCTGTACATCAGGAACTTGAGAAGTGTTGGGAATCACCACAACACTTCCAGCACAGCTTCAGTCCAGAGTCACCCTCAGCACCCCAGGGTGGGGGCTTCCCCCAGCTCAGCCTAAACCCTGAGCTGCCACCTGCTCCCCAGGTTTCCGCCCAGTTTGCAGCCATTGCTCCTCCTGCCTCCCTCTTCCCGAGTGGAGGGAGGGCAGGAACCAAACTACAGAAACAGTATTTTTATTCCAAGGGCAAATGTATTTAAATAATTTACAGTCATTGGACAGCCTCAAAGGTTGTTGGGGTTGTTTGTTGTTTTTTTTTCTCCATTATTAAATCACAAAGATGTTAAAATAAAAACAGTATTAAAAAAAAGATGACCGTACACAGCGTGAGGGAGGGGCTGGGCACAGGGGAGCTGCTGGTTGCAGGACCCAGGGGGGTGAGCTGGACCCCCAAGGACTGACACCCTCCCCACCAAGAGCAGGTCTCCAGATTCCAGAGGGGAGAGGAGCCACCCCCTCCCTGCTGTGTGCTGGAGCAGGGGTGGGGAGCAGGGACAAGGAGTGGGGTGTCTGAGGGCTCTGGTGTCACAGGGCAGCTCCGTGTCCCGGACTCCTGCCACCCCATGTCCCTAGAGATGGCCAAATGGGATAGGGTGAGGGCAGATGGCTGCCCCACGTTGAGCCCTCACACCAAACTCTCAGGGGGTTCCTCAGCCCTCTGCCATCCCCACTGTGCCCAGCCCAGGCAGGCAGGGCTGCCCTCCAGGCCCAGGGAATAAGGCAACACCTTGTGTTAAGGGAAAGGACCCCAGAGCACCTCCCAGCACTGCCCGTTCCTCCTGCCCCATGTCAGCTGTGTCCCTGACCTCAAGGCAAACACTAGTGCCATGAGGTGCTCCCTGGGGTACTGGGGGCACCAAAGCTCCTGGACAACAGCTGGAGCTACCCCCCTGCCCCTCTCAACCCCTTCCACCCCCGAAGGACACACAATCTGCCCCCTGGGGGGGCTGCTGTGGCCCAGGAGGGGTTGGGAGTGACACTGGGGTAGCTGTGGGCTGGGGACGATGCTGTAACTCCCAGCAGCAGTGGGTGAGCAGGCACTTCCCACCTCCCAGGGGCCCACCCCTGGGGCCTCATCTTCTCCCCAGCCCCACCAGCCCCACTCTTAGCTCCAGACATCCAAAGAGTACCGGCCCTTGGTCATCAGTTTCTTTACATAGTCCACAGCTTGGGGCTGGCTCATGTTCCCAAACTCGGAGACAATCTCGTAGAAGGTGTTCTGCACGTCCCGGGCCATGTTGCGGGCATCACTGGGAACAAGGGGAGTGTCAGTGGGGTGGGAACACAGAGCCAGAGCCCTGGTCACCTCTACACACGGACAGTTTGCTCACCCCAGCCTACAGCATCACAGAATTGTTCAGGTTGGAAGACCTTTAAGATCAGCAAGTCCAACCATTAACCCCACTCTACCAAACCCACTGCTTAACAACCCTTTCTGTGGAGAAATTTTTCCTAATACCCAGCCTAAACCATGCACCTGATCTCCCCCAGAACAAGGACAGTGTGACCCTCCCAGGGCTTGTAATACACAAGTGAGTGTCACTTGTTTCCCTGAGAACAGGAATGTTTTCCTGAAGTCCCTTCCCTGCCACGACACTTACCCACACACATAGATATGAGCATTCTCCTCGTTAATCAGCTTCCAGATGTTCTCCTTGTTCTTCTTCAGCAAGTGCTGAACATAAACCTGGCAGGAAAAAAGGTGGGAGTGAGTAGAGAAGGGCAGAGCCACACACTGGTGAGGGAGAGTAACCCAAGCCCACGCTCGTGCCTGCAGGAGCCAGCAGAGGAGCTGGGTGCTCCTGTGACCTCCATGGGCCTTCCCTAGAAGTAGAGCTCCAGGCTGGGGGTCTCCAGCCCTCAGGGACTTTTCTTCCACTGCTGCCATGGCTGAGAGCGACGCTGGGCAGCAGGAGCAGGCAGCAGGCAGCTGGGGCATTACCTTCTCAGCTTGGTCCCTGGAGAAGGCCACGTTGAGCTGGGTGAGGACCCCCTCCTGGTGGAAGCGGGCCAGCTCCTCGCGGTACAGGTAGTCCTCCCGCTCGCGGCGGCAGCCGTAGTAAAGCACCGTCTCGCCCACCTCTTTGCCTGCAGAGTCACACAGCACCCATCAGCTGGCTCCCTGCAGCCCCCCAGCCCCCTCCCCTTCATCCTGCCAGCCCAGGGGGGCTGAGCTGTGTCACTGCTGCTGTTTAGAAGAAGCTTGAGACTCTCAACCCCAGGAGTAGCCAGAAACGAGTCTAAGTGATTTGACTGTGGTTATTTGGAGACAGTGGCAGAGGTCAGAGCTGGCTCAGGTCCATCCACCCCCTCAAAACACCCCCTGTGGCCAGGAGAGGAGGACAAAGCATCCTCATGTTGGACGAAAACACTCAGCTGCTGTTCACCCTGCTCCTCTGCTTTGCACTGGGCACATCAGCAATGTGAGGAGCACAAGCTGCCCTTTGGAGGAAGCCATGCAGAGCCCCATCCTGCAGCAGCTCAGCACCCCAGGGGAGCCCCCCGGGCTCTCACCTTGCTGCTTCAGCCAGGCCCTCTCCTGGATGAAGCCCATGAAGGGGGCTATTCCAGTTCCCGGCCCGATCATGATGATGGGTGTGCTGGGCTTGAAGGGCAGGCGGAACTGCGACTTCCTGACGTACATGGGCACCATGGAGCTGCTCCCATTCTCATGAGGCACCTTGTTCTTCAGCCAGTTGGTGGCCACCCCTTTGTTCAGGCGTCCCGTCTTGGTCTCGTACTCCACCGCCACGGCACAGATGTGGATGGCGTGGGGGTGAACCTGCAGGGAAGGGGTGTCAGGGCCAGGCAGAGAGGAAGACCCAGCAACCCCTTTGTGCTCAGAGATGGGGAGAAGTTTAACCTAATGTTCATGTTGGGACAGCTATTCCTCCTCTGGCAGATCAAGCCTCCCAGCATGTCCCACATGGGACTTCTGTCTCATGCCCGACTTCTCACAGGACCACTGAGCTTCCCTTGGTGTGGCCAACAACCTCAGGGATTCCAGCACAAAATAAAGAGTGAAAGAATAAAAGGCCACCAAATAAAGACCAACCCCTTAAATGCCACCTTGCTTCCAAGCTCTGAAGGCAAGGCCTAAGGTTGAAGAGAAGCAGGGCTGGAGGGAGGGTGGTGGTATCAGGGCACAGCTGGCTGCAGTGTGTGACTCTGCAGATCCTGTGGAAGATGGGATAACCCCCTCTTCTCATGCACAGAGATAACTAAAGCTGCCACTCCACAGAACATGTCACCAGGGCAAATTCCCCATGTCCTGTCCCCAGCTGAGAGGTGGGATGGTGGCACCATGGGGCTGCAGCTGAAGCCATTCTCCCAGCAGCCTCAGTCCCTGCTGGAAGCAGACTCACCTTGGAGGAGGAGGCAATGGAATAGTAACGGGCCTGCAGACGGGGCAGGAGCTCACACAAGTGGTCGATGGGGGGACGCACGGAGGGCATGTCCTGCAGGATGGCCAGGATGTTCCTCCTGGCCTCCACCACCCAGCTGAGGTACAGAGCCTGCGGGCAAGGAGAGCAGACACCCGATGTCTCCCCTGCAGAGCTGGCAAACACCCCCATAGCTCTCAGCACCAGGTGCTCAACAGCCTGGGATTCCTCTTGGGGATTCTCTCAGCACCCAGTTCAACCCAGCAGCTGTGCTGGGCAGGCCCCAGCTCCCACCTTGCCCTCAGCAGCAGAGGATGCCATCCTGCGCAGGCGCTCCTGCTCGCCCGCGTCCGCCGCGTACTGAGCCAGCTCGTACAGCACGTTGGTGCGGGGCGGGTTGGTGATGTCCAGGTAGTAGGTCAGGGCTGTACGGTAGGAGGTGGGGCAGGGGAAAGGATGTTTCTTGTTGGATTCCTCTGGAAGGAACAAAAAAAAATTAAAAAATTAAAAAAAAATCAGCAACCACGTGCTGTTGTGGTAGAGGTTTTGGGCCAGCAGCCACATGCAGGGGCTGAGAGCTGGAGATGAAGGAGGGGAATCAGGTTCAGAGATCAGAGAGCAGCCTTAGGGCTGAAGCAGCCTGTTGGCCAAAGCCCTGACCCCACACTGAAGCAGCTCTAGCTCCCTCTCCAGGCAGAACTATCTCCCAGTAGCCCACTTTGTGTTTCACAGGTGTTGCCTGACAGCCTTCCCAATGGGGCTCTGCCCCAGGATATCCATGCACAGGGGTACCCAGCAACTCCCAGGCCAAGGAGGGCTGTTCACCATGGCTAAATTGGCCTCCTGCAGATCTGGCCTCAAAAGTGTCCTTCATCTCCTTCACCTATGGGCTTTTGTGCTCACAGCACCCTTGGGAAAGACAAGCGCCAGCAGTCAAGGCTGGAGCCATTCAACTCAGCAAATTAAGAGGTCCATAAGGGACAGGAATGACAGTGGGAGGCCAGACAACATGGGACCCTGCACAGGGGCCTACAGGCTCCAGCAGTGCACTAAAGCCACTTCCTCTCTTGCAAGCAGGAGCTCTCTAGGGTTTCTGAGCCAGCACATCTGGTGGCTCAGGTCAGGCTGCACAGTCAAGGCTGGAGCCATTCAACTCAGCAAATTAAGAGGTCCATAAGGGACAGGAATGACAGTGGGAGGCCAGACAACATGGGACCCTGCACAGGGGCCTACAGGCTCCAGCAGTGCACTAAAGCCACTTCCTCTCTTGCAAGCAGGAGCTCTCTAGGGTTTCTGAGCCAGCACATCTGGTGGCTCAGGTCAGGCTGCACCATTTCAGGAACAAGACAGGC